AGTTACATTTAAATCTATTTAAACTTTACACTGTCTAAAGTTTATAGTTATATTTAAATCTATTTAAACTTTATACTGTCTAAAGTTTATAGTTATATTTAAATCCCTGTTTGGGTTCTATTTCTTTGCAGTAATTTTAGTAAAATATTACAATGAAAATATTGCTCTGTTGTAATAAACAAGGCCTACATACCAACTGTGCGTGCTGAAACCTTACTGTAAAATAAACAATGAAGGAACAACTTATATATATATATCATACAGATTTGGAAAGTGTAGGAGAAAATGGAAAATAACTGTACCAGTCATTTGGAAAACATAACTACATGAACGTAAGCATGTTTATAGATAAGTTGAATCAAAGATCTTTATTACCTCCAAATTTTTTATAATGGTCGAATAAACTGAGGCGATTGTACTTTAATGAAAAAAATCATAGAACAGATAACCTGTGTTTATTTCCACTGGAAATGTGATTTTCACTAAACATTACACCGGGAGGAATTGCAGATTGAGAAACAAAAAATTGTGGTTTAAAATTGTTTGTTTGTTATGAATTTCGCGCAAAGCTACACGAGGGATATCTGCGCTAGCCGTTCCTAATTTAGCAGTGAAAGACTAGTCATCACCAACTCTTTTATCAATGAATAGTGGGATTGTCCGTCTCATTATAACGCTCCCACGGCTGAAAGGGCGAGCATGTTTAGTTGGACGGTGAGTAAAACCCGCAGATTGCGTGTCGAGCGCCCTAACCACATGGCCTACTAATTTAAAATAAGCCTATTTCCAAACAGCATGCTATTAATCACATCAATTAATTAAAACATATTATATTCCCTCGTATAACTTGATAGTTTGTAGTTAGGCACAAAGCTGCACAATGGGCAATCTGTGCTATGCCCACCACGGGTATCGAAACCCGGTTTCTAGCCTTGTAAGCCCGCAGACATACCACTGTCCACTGGGGGTCAACTCGATAGTCTTACTACTTCTTCTACTGCATGTCTGGTATTTATAGCTATTATTTTTCAAAATAGCTGTAGATTTATTGAATTTTTTATCCCAATACTAAGTTTGACCTATATGTTTGGTTTAAATTCTGCTCTAAAAAGTTAAAGGTACATTAATTTTTTCTGGTATACGAAAATATGTTTTTTCAATCTAACCTATTAAAAAAAAATCTATAGTTGTTAAAACCATATTTTTGAAAATAAATTTGAAGAAAAGTATGTTGTTTAGTCAGGAAATTAATTGTTTAAATTTGCACGTAAAGCCATTTAGTGTCGTTTTATCTGAATTTATACTTTCTAACGTTGAAATTAATTGTTTAAATTTGGACGTAAAGCAATTTAGTGTCGTTTTATCTGAATTTATACTTTCTAACATTGAAATTAATTGTTTAAATTTGCACGTAAAGCAATTTAGTGTCGTTTTATCTGAATTTATACTTTCTAACCTTGAAATTAATTGTTTAAATTTGCACGTAAAGCAATTTAGTGTCGTTTAATCTTAATTTATACTTTTTTGAAAAACAAAATCAAAATGAAAAACCGTTTTCTTTATCGCATTGAAACTAACAAGCCATAGTTTTTTTGTTGTTATTTTAAGTGCTTGTCTCCATACGCCATTTCTGTAGCGTGTGCGTGACATTTTAAGACATTCTTTCCGTTTCTCCACCTCAGATGTAAAGGATTTTTTAAGCGCACAGTGCAAAACAAACGAGTTTACACGTGCGTTGCTGATGGAAATTGCGAAATCACTAAAGCCCAAAGAAACAGATGTCAGTACTGTCGATTCCAGAAATGTCTTCGGCAAGGCATGGTTTTAGCAGGTGAGAACAAATCTGTTTCCTGTTTGTTTGTGTGTTTTTTTATATATAATCGGAACCATATTTTTAATGATATAGTCAAGTAAACCGAACGAAAAGTTTTGTCTCTTTGTTGTTCAATTTTCCAAGAAACCTTAAATTCGTTACTGAAAAACAAGTATAGTGTCCTTGTAACTGTTTTTTTTTGTTGTTGTTGTTTTTTGTGGAACACGGACAACCCGTATTGTAAGAGCCTGTAAGAAAAACATGGGTTGATGTGTACAGTCCTGGGTTTTGTGCTTAAATCAAAACGTAAAAAAGAAAGAAAAAAAACAGTGTTGTTCTTAAACGAATATTTTTTTCACCCCTTTGGTCATGATTAAATGTCATAAATGTCTTGTATCTTAAGATTATCATATAGATTTAACTTCATGATTTTTTTTTTCTATTTACGTATGAATATAGATTTGCGATATTTTTTATGATGGTCGCAATATTCCTTTCGATGAGTACAAATTTATATTTGCTTCACAACTGAGATATTAATTTAATTAAAGAAATAACGTGATGCAGCTTTACAGGCACTTGTTGATGGGGAATATTCTGAAGGGGATTTTTTCATTCAGGACAAACTGATACATTTTAGGAATAATTTTTTGTTTTGTTTTTTTTAATTATGCACCAAGCTACACAAGGGCTATCTGTGCTCTGCCCACCACGGGCATCGAAACCCGGTTTCTGGCGTTGTAAGTCCGCAGACATACCGCTGTGCCACGGGGGGGCTTTAGGAATAAGGGGAATTATGACGGGGATTTGGTCTCCAAAACAAACTGATACATAAGGGAAATTCTGATGGGGATTTGGTCTCCAAAACAAACTGATACATAAGGGAAATTCTGATGGGGATTTTGTCTCCAAAACAAAGTGATACATTTTGATGTCCCTCAGAAGGCCTAGCAATTGAGTTTCCACTTTGTATTTTATTGTGTAGAGGAGGGAGACGTGTTTGTGTTGTTCTGAAGCTATTGTGTTAAAAGAAACTATTTTTATCGTTATTACGTTGAGTCACTTGAATGATGTACAAGAAGGAACTATTTTTGTAGTGACAATTCACTGTGCCTGTTCCCTGGTGTAGTATTATAATACATTTTTAGTGCTACTTTGCTGAATTTGATTTCTGGTTAGGGAGGAGGAGGAGCTACTTTTCAGCGTTAATCTGCTGTGTTTATTAACTAGTGTAGGATTAGGAACTATTTTTAGTGTTAATTTGCCGAGTCAGTTGAATAATATGCGCGCAGGAACTATTTTTTTTTAGAGATAGTCCGCTGTATCTGTTCAATAATGTAGAATTATAATATATATATTTTTGGTGATATTTTGCTGAATTTAATTGCTGGCTTGGGATAAAAAGACTCTTTTAGATTGTTCTGTTAACGAGTGTAGAAGGCTGGCATGATCAGGTGGTTAGGACGCTTGACTCGCAATCTGAGGGTCGCGAGTTCGAATCCCAGACCCACCAAACATGCTCTTCATTTCAGTCGAGGGGGCGTTATAATGTGACGCTCAATTCCACTATTCGTTGGTATTAGAGTAGCCCAACAGTTGGCAGTGGGTGCTGTTCAACGCTAAATTAAGGACGGCTAGCGCAGATAGCCCTCGTGTAGCTTTGCGCGAAATTCAAAACGAGTGTAGAAGGAGGAAATATTTTTAGTGTTAACCCGCTGTCTCTGTCTATTGGTGTAAAACCAAAATATATTGTATATATATATATTACTTCAAATAGTCTCACTGTTTCGTAAAAGAAGGCTGCATTTTTCATTGTTATTACGTCGAGTCTCAGTATGTATAGGAAATTAGCGTGTGTTTGTGTTGCGGAATAATTTTCTTGTATTTATTTCATACTATTTGTTTAGGATGTGGAAAAATAACCTACTGAAGATTGTTTTTTCATTAACCATTATACAGCTCTGGACCAAAACATTTTGACTTAATGCGAAACCTTTCGATACGTAACGTACTAATGATGGA